ATGAAGGAGCAAATGAATGCCTAGGTCTGCGCAGTCGAGATCCCCTCCGGACCTCTGCGAGAGGCGTGTCATCATCAAAATCCGACACATTCTCTTCTCTCGAGTCTTCTTCAACTGAGTAATGCATTTAGTCAAAAAAATCACAAATTCGACTTGAGAAAAAAAAAATAAAATAAAAAAAGACCAAAAAATAATATTTTATTAAGTAAATAAATCTCACAGTCTTCAAGCCCGAGGTTCTCAGATTGGAGGCGCTGGGGGGACGGTGGATTGGTTGGGCGTCGTTGTCGTTCTTGCTGCTGCTGTTGTTCCCCCCTTCGGACAAGTTCATTTTTGCGTTCACGGGCCCGAGGTCTTCTACCCCCACCAATGTTGGCAGCGGGTTGATGCCTCACAGTGTGTGACTGTGTCCTCTGGGATGGAACATAGTCGTCCTGGGATAGAACTTGACTTGACGACGCCCCTTGTGTCAGACCTCGACCTACAACAGTCAGAGAAGTGTAGGCAAAGTTGAAGGACTGTCGGAATGCGGCCTGTGCCTCTGGAGGGAATGTAGGCATTAAGTGTTGAATACTCGTTAACGAGTTATAAACTCCCCCCAGGCCAGAAGTCTGAAAATAAAATTCAAAGTAATTAGTATGAAACAACATAAATAAAATAATAATGATAATAATAACAATAACAATAAAAACTACAAATTATTATGAACACTTACCTCGCACCCTAACCGCTCGGCAAATAGCTGATAGCCGCCAGCCTGTTGGAAAACCTGGTAATTGCCAGGGTTACTGATGAATCTCACAGTCCTACTGTGAAACCAATAAAGGTAACCCTGCTCTGGCTGCAGGAAGTCATACACAGGGCAACTGGGATGAGATGTAGTTCTCTTTCATCGGCCCAGGCCTTCGTAAGCGGTGAATGAAAGACGGCCCAATCACCGAATGCCCTCCCAGTCATTTCTTGGCCGGCGTGGTGTGTGGCCCAGTCTTGCTCACCCGTAATGATCGGATTTTGGGTTTCAAACAAAATAAACCATCCAAACAAAATCATCCACAACATGAAGTCTCATCGACAAAATCATCTAGTTCCCCCACTGATCACGAAGTCTAGACCTATCGGTGCGAGGATGTGAGGACGGACAGTTTCATCCACAACATGATTTGGATCACCGCATTTAGTGCACTGTCCCCTATCCCTCCTACGGCGTGCCCAATGATCCATTTGCATGCGATATCGTCTCGTTTGCACGCGATCGGGTCCAGGCTTTAAGATCTTCCTCTCCCAGTGTGGTATCAATTTCCACTAGACCAACGCCCATGTATTCAGATTACCAATCGGAGCAAAACTCCAATTACTAAATTGAGCTATCCATTTCTCCGTCCAAAAATACTCATTGTACAACAGTTTTGGCTCAGTCCCAATAAACGACAGAAGGCTAACGCATGAGAGCATGGTTTCTTATGCGTCTGCCACTTCCGACAACTACAATATTTTCGATTGTAATCAACCTTATACCTGTAATAATTCTCCAGTGATTTATATATATACAATATGAAAAATTTGAATGGACCAAAAAAAAAACAAAAAAACATATACTTACTTGTTTTGCCCTCTTCCACTAGCCCGTTAATCGGTTTCCACTTCGTACATAGAGCTGTCGGCGTCCCTAACTCCCACATTATGAGTTGCGGCTGTCTGTTCCAATTGCACAAATGCGTTAAAGTGCTCGCTAGCAATGAGACTCCTGCATCTCGTGGACTTGTTTTGTTCCTGTTGAAACAAATCCATAGTTTTCTGAAATGTGGCGTCTACTAAAGCTCTGCACGGCAGGAACCTAACCCCTTTCAGGACGTTGTTGTAACTCTCCGACATATTCGTTGTCAATGTGCCCCATCTACGTCCTTTATCTTTAAACAGGGTTCACTTGTTCAAAGGAATTTGAAAAAGGTAATTGTGTGCTTCGAAATCCAATTCCAACAGTCGTTGTTCTGTCTCTCGAAACTTTCGCTCCGACAACTGAGAACCCAATTCCCAACACCAAGTCCGAAATTTCTTACTCCTGAACCTACTCACCACGTTGTTTCGAAGGTGTCGAAGGCAAATCCGGTGATACGCAGCGGGTTCTTGCCAATCTGCTAACGATTCAATGGCACTGAGTAGGCCCGCATCCCTGTCAGAAAGAACGCAGATCCGTCTCTAGAAGACTACATATTGCCGCAGATTCCTAAGGAAAAATGACCAACTGTACGTGCTTTCTTCTTCGACAAGCACATACACGACTGGCAATAGCCGCATATTCGCAGTCTGTGCCGTGGCCACAAGCAATTTTCTCTTGTACGATCCACGCAAATGTGTGCCATCGACGCTAATAACTAGCGGACACATTTGGAAAGTTTGAATGGCGGAACCAAATGCCCAAAATACAAATTTGAATTGTCTGTCTCGAAGGTGTCGCGCCATTTCCCCACCCTTCCATTCCCACTCTACAACTGTGGAGGGATTCGTTCTTTGAAGCGCGGCAAAATTCTTGCACATTACAAAACGGTTTAATAATAAATAGATAACCATAGTAACAGACAAACAACACATATATTTGTAATTAATTTTTGCTTACTGAAGGAGTTCTGCGAAGTTCGATTCCCAAGTGCCATACACACTTCGATGGCTTTTCTCCTTCCGTGTCATGCCTTCTTGTAGCTGACATCCACTTTCCAGCACTGTTTCACATCAGCCTGGATCATGACGACACCGTACTCCACTTTCTTTCGAATCTTATTTATGAGATTTGAAATCATTTGGGCGGTTACATTTCTGTGGTCATTTCTCTCGACCGGTTGCATACAAGTGTGTCTATCAGTCCATTCAGTTAGTTCCCACAATTCATGAACCCATCTGGACTTAGTCACCCGAGCCTTCCACACACAAGGTGGATCTTCACTAAATCTGCAGACCACTTTGTATGACTTTTGATATGAATCATTTGTCCGAATCTCCTGCAACCTATCGACGTTCCAAGCCATTAGAGCCATTTCGGCTTCTTGCTTGTTCCTAAAAACTATACCCAAACGTATGGTCTCAATGTCGCCATTCCAGCGCGGAATAGCATACTCGTCCTCATCTATCCTGGATGGCTCCCATTCACCCATCTCGCGGTATACGTGCCGACCACCACTAGGAAAGGGGTGTTCTTCTTTAATGAACTCAGCTTCACTCTCCTTATTTACCGATCTATCTGATTCGGTTTCTGAGGTCTCGTCTGTGAATCATCTTTACCGAGTGCGAACTCTTCGTCACTTTCTTCCCCGTCCTCATTTGTCTATTCTCTCATTGGTGAGCTTGTCCCTTCTCCAAAATTATATAGATGAGAAGTCGACGTGCCCTCAACATCATCTACTCCCCCGTAATAAGGAGTAAAATCCTGAAACTGTGTAATCGGTGTAATTGCCTCCAACGATAAATGCAAATACACAACGGACATAGAAGGAAAGAAATAAATCCACTGAAGAACACTATCGTTATTCAGTCTTCCGGCATTCCACGAACCATCGAGTTGACGAAACATTAAAGTAATCTCCTGAATTGTCCAACCTTCTCCAAACCGACAATTTTCATTAATCATCTGCACCAATTCTTCATATGATATCGCCAATACAAATTAACAAAATACGGACCACAATACGCCATTTATAACTGTTGCAAAAAAAACTTTCAATTCTTCTCAATTACAACACATAATGTCTAATCCAACACCCAAAAAATTCAATTATTCTTTAAACCCATTTTTTTACTCTAAAAAAAATATTCCCAATCGATTAATCCTCCAAAACCCTAATATCCATAATCCAACAATAACATACAATTCATCTATATTTCGAATAAATTGAAAGCCCTAATTCTAACCCTCATTTCGAAAAACCCTAACCCCAACAACAACCAACCCATACACAATTGACAATTTACAACAAAATTCCAATCTCCAATTCAACATACACACATAATCGATAAACAATTAACAATTCTCAATCTTCAAACACCACCACATTCAAACATACTATAACAATTACCAATCTCCCAACAACTCTAAACAATGTCAAAAGTTGAGATAAGCCAATATACCTCATGCGAATTAATTAAACGGAAATGAGGTTCGTGTTGTTATTGTCGGTTCGCGTCGGGGTGGCGATTGGATCGAGTTTTTTTTTTTTTAAATTAAAAGACGGAAATAGACAACGTATTTCCAAAATACGTTTTTTAAATCCCTAAAAATCAATTTTAGGGTTTTGGAAAACGTATTTTCGAAATCCAGTTTATAAGTATCATTTTTTATTCAATTTCCTTTTTTTAGACGGAAATATTTTTTTTTTTATTTTTCAAATATAATTATAAAACGTATTACAGAAATACGTTTTCCTAATAAAATTTTTTTAGGAAAACATATTATGATAATACGTCATTTTTTATTTTTTTCCACCCTTATTTTTTTGTCCACTTGATTTTTTTGTTTTTTAAAAAATAAACTACCCGGTTGCATAAACTATTTTTATCTGCTATAGAAAAAACATATAAACAACTAAGGGGAGGTATTACCAATGTGTATTAATAGACAGACCTAAGAGCATCCACAATGCTTTGAGTTCAATCCCAAAAAATTACATACCACATAAGAAATAGACTCAGTTTAAAAAAATATTTTCTCCAATGCAAATAAAAGTAGACTGGGTCCTAGTGATGTGGCAGCCACAAAAAGAGACCCGGTCTCCCCTTAAGTCTATCTCTTTGCATTGGAGTGAATTTTATTAATTTTACATAGTTTTATCCATCTCATCTAAGATTTGGGTTTATTTACTTGCCAGATAGACAAGACTAGACTCAATGCATTGAAGATGGTCTAACAATTAGACAGTCCTTTACACTTTGAAGAACAACATACATTAAACTATGGCAGTTCATAAATGTATTTTTGTTTCTCAAATGTCCCCAACAATATAAATGTGACCTCATCATAACTTCAAAACTAGAAATAAATAAAATTCCACAATAAATGTGTGAGAGAAATTTCCATACAGAAACCAACACGTGAACAAAGAGCATTCATTTCATCAAATTGCATCCTTGGAAAAACTAATGAAATCAAGTTCAAACTGTTCTTTACAGAAACTGCTTACAAAAACAACCAAATTTCCCAAAATACTCCTTACAAACCAAACCAACCCGGAGCTCAATAATCATTCTACTTATTAAGGAGTAATAACAAAAGTTAGCCATAAAGATCCAGTTTTTGCTCAAGACTCTACATTATCACTGCTCGAATCTGTTAAAATCGTCAACCTCCTCGCAGCCTTCACAAAATCACTGCAAAAAATAAAACGACAAAACAAATAAATAAATCGACAAAAGNTCACCTAAACGGTATACGGCCAACTCGCTTAACGCAGCCCGAGGCCTCCCGATACAGAACATGATTCTCAATTTCCGAAACCTCGACTCCAAATAAATCTGCTAACTTTTGGTAAAGTTCCTCATAAGTAGCAATCAAAGAAAGATCCAAAGTCCGCCCAACATCCTCATATTCCATGAAAACTTTGCACTGACCGGGCTCCTCTGACTGAATTCCATCAGATGTATTTCCATTCTTATCCCCATTACCTTCAGACGAAGAATTAACCGTTTCGCTCGAGTAGCTCATTACCCTATTCTCCATAACTATCTTCTGCCCAAAAAGTAGAAATGGGGCTTGGGCATGCTTCCCTTCACTCGATTTTCCCGTTTCTTGAGATTGGGCCTGGCAGCCCATAGTCAGCTGACAAGAAACATTTCCACCGCTGCAGGGCCCGGGAGTGATCGGGCCAGCTGGCGGAGCCCGGTCAAAGGGAGGATAACCAAAGGGAAAAAAACTCGCCGGGATTATATTTTTGGGGTAGCGAGGATTATTATTAATATTATTATTATTGTTGTTGTTGTCTGATAGGGATGATAAGCTGTATTGAGCATGCCTGGCTCCCTGCATGCCAGCAGGAGGAGTGTTGTTACTGTTCAGAAGGCAGTTACCGCTAAAGGGGCCACCGGAAAACGGTGGCAGAGGGAATTGGGAGTCGAGAGGAGAGTATTCAGGATGGCCAGGGAGTCGAAGTTTTTTACGGGGTGATGAAAATGGGGAAAGATGGATAGCGGGCATGTTGGATACTAGTTCGACAAGCCACGGGCTTACTCGTTTCACGTTCTGAAGCAGATCGGGCTCGTCCCATGCCACCTGAAGTAATTTTCTTGAAACAGTTTAGTTTTGGAACTAGAGATTATTGTATTACTTACTGACAGATATGGTTATTTTACGGTTCAGATAAAAAAAAATCGAGTACATTTAACGAAAGAGCCCAACGCCAGTTATGCATATATCTTATCTCGCGATTTACCAAATAAAAATGCACGATAGAGAGAACGTAAAAAGTAATATCATGTAAACGACATTACTGTCGAAAATTTTCAATTAAAACCACCCATAATACTCTGTGACTCCTCATCATTCTAAAGAAGATGTAAATTCACTATGCAACCTGTGATTCACAACTAAAGGTTATATGGAAAAAGGGAATGATCTCGGTAGTGAAACAATATACTGTCGAAAAATTTTCATGTAAAAGTAATATCATGTAAAAGACATTACTGTCGAAAATTTTCGATTAAAACCCATAATACTCTGACTCCTCATCATTCTAAAGAAGACGTAAATTCATTCACTATGCAACCTGTGATTTCAGAACTAAAGGTTACATTACATGGATAAAGCGAACGATCTCAGTAGAGAAACAAAAAAACCACATCCAATATCAGCCAAAACTAAATCGAATCAATCGACAAATGGGCAAAATATATTTTCACCTGAAGAAGCCTCCAAGGCGAGTCGGGCCACCTGATGGGGTCCGCCACCTGTACACCCGACACAGTCCCCATGAACCAGCTTATTCTCGACGAGTCCTCCGTCTCGAACGCCATCTTGAACCTCATCCCTGAGCACCACCTCACCTGCAATGCCGCCTTAACCAAACTCGCACGCACACAGAACTCCGGCGTGCTCGCCCGCGGATAATAAACCACGTCAAACTCCCGACCGCTCGCCGCACGGCCTACCGCCTCAATTACGTCCTCGGCCCTCACCCTCCCTCTGCCCCCAATCAAATCATTCCTCCCCATTTTACCCTCGTCCTCTCTCAAGAACAACGACGAGAACCCCCCACCATAGTTCCAGCCCGCGTGCACCTCGGGCCCACCGCCGGGCCCAATCCCTCTCTTGGCCCGCCTTATGCCGACACAGAGTTCACCGCCGTTTTCAGACCTCATGAAAACGATCGAGTCCCCTGCTACTAATTTCTTCTGGTTCACAAACGTGCTCCAACCCGTCGTCAACAGGTGCCGTCTAGGGGTACCCCGGTAAATATGCCGGAATTTCCAAGTCTCGCCGTGAACATCTTTGGCAAGGATCGTCTGAACTGGCGGGTCGACAGAGTAGTCTAGTCTGGGGAAGATCGTCTCTGCACAGTACCTTGGCACAGAGAATCCGCCGCCGTTGTTCGCATCTGATTGGGTCAAAGTCTTGGCGAAAGACGCGGGCTTTTCTTGATTGTCGGCGGGCCCGGAAAGCCCATTAGGCCCACAGTCGTTGTCCTCAAGGTTAGCCTCGTGACTGGAGACTGGGGAGAGTCGGATTTTCGCGAAGACCTCATCGGTTTCAGGGTCGGCTAAGAACCGGACAGCTGAGACACAGCACAGGACGTAAGGTGGGGCCCGCGGAAGGTTCCGGAAGTCTACGTTTTCGGAGGCGTGTTCCACGTGGCCTTGGGGGAAGTAGAGGACTTTGGAGTTTACTGGTGGCATTTGGACCATGCTGCCGGCGCAGGCATGCCATAGCTGAGGATCCAAGCATTTGTCGTGTTCGGTGAGTTTTTCTTTGGGTTCCATGAAGGTAATCATTGTTGGATTTAGGAGTAAGTGAGGAAGATGAGTAGGGGGAGTTGGAAATGGAATCAGCTCATAAAACGGGACATCTTTGTTTCTTGTTTGTTTTCAGATAATCAGAGAGGAATTGCTGTCACAGAGTAAAAGGTAGAAACAAAAAGGTTTCAGAAAAGAGATAAATTAAATTTATGCAGAGGCAGAATCAAATAGAGAATCAACAAGGGAGATATTTAATTGGGGCTGTAAAAGAAAAGATTCAATTTTTTCTTACCTTGTCGGTGAATCCATCTGCAAAATGAGCAACCACAAATCAACATACAGTTCTTGATTTATCTGCACAACCTAAATAGAATGATTATTACAACTTGGGCTCCTTCACAATCAAAACCACATAATCTTCTTCACAAGATCGAATTTATCTAGCAGTCAAAAGTTTCTTTCTTCAATCCCAGCACCAGCGGCACAAGGAACCCATGACTTGGACCAGATAAACATCACTTTTTCAAGAAAAAAAGGAAAAATTGACCATGTTTCACAGAAGAGAACCCAACACGGCNAGAAAAAAAAAAAAAAAATCCAATCTTTAGAATGTATTCTCCCCAAAATTGAAAACCCACATCCTAAATCATCTGCTCTTCCCCTTTAAACCCTAAAATTTACAAACTTTCTAACAGAAAATTAATCAAGAAAAACAAAATATCTAGGCAAAAAGACGATTGGAACTCCCTCTTTTATTCTGCCATATTCATACACAGCCCCACTCACACATATAAAGTTCCCTCTCTCTCTGTCTCTCTCTCACCCCTTTACAACTACTTTCTCTCACTATACTGTGTGTATACAATACGTATACAGTATGCACAATGAGTGTTCACACGTACACAAGAAGGGCCTTTTTAGCAAAACCCATTTTTTCTGTTCCTATTTTTCTTCCATTTTCTTTTTCCACCTGATAAAATGATCTTTATTACTGTAATCTAGTTCCTTTTTAAAAGGGATCTATATAATAATTCTCACCTTTTTCTTCGGATCTGAAGAAACTTCTGATGTGCCTTCAGAGGCCAGCATACATAACAACAAAGATCTTAAAGCAAGCCTAACCTATTTCCAGTTTTTTCTTTTATTTTTTCCTTTGAAATTGGATTTCATTATTTCCCCTCTGTTATAAAATATTGGTGTTGGTTAGGCTTTATTTTTGTTTAGTGATTATAATAATAATATATTTATTCCATTACTTACGTTGTCGGATTTTGGTTTGATTTTGGTAGTTCAATTAGTGGTTTTATTTAAATATTATATTGCGTGGCATTGAAATGACCAAGGTATTGTAGTGAGTGAAGGAGTTTAAAATTGATTAGTCTAAATTTTTCTTTAATTGAGGCAAGTCAATAGTTGCCCTAAAACCAAGGCAAATTAATTAATAAGTAGACAAAGAGGTAAGCATTTAACTATGGTTTAGACAAGGTTTAATTACCGAGTGTAATAACTAATGGAAAGGATGTGTACATTTCTTTTACATAATTACAAATTGTTGTGAGAGTTGGTATAATAATTAGACGAATCGATGTCTCGTGTAATTGTAAGTGAAAATAATACTTATATTATAAAATATTATAATTTATTTGTTGTTGTTTTTAAAGTATGACATTTAATAAAAATGCATACTCATTCTACAAAATATCATATTTTGATATTCTATTTTGAAAGTGTATATTTGTTAAAAAGGTATGATTATTAATAATTTTATTTTTTACATTAGATTTTTAATATTTTGATGAAAATATGTTATCTTCTCACCATGGAACAATTAATTTAATATCAAAGCACAACTAGTTATAATTTTTATTTATTTATTTATTTATTTTTTTGTCATAAATTTCCATGACCAAATCGAATGGCTATGGTTTTTAAATTATATTTTCGTATAAATTCCAGTGATGATAGAAAAGGTGGTTTTGTTGTCTTTTCAAATCCCATTTGTGCTGAAAGAGGGAATATGAAAATGACTTTATTGCACATACATACATCATTTAATAGTTTCAAATTCAATATGATTATGTAGAACCCAACCAATATAGCTAATTGAATTTCACTTGTTTGTGAAAAGTACTAATTTTCACTATTTATAAATAATTCGTATTCAATATTGTGCGCATGCTCAAATACGAATACAATATTGTTGGTTATACGTATGGTTATTATATTTGAAATCATATGTTAAATAATAGGCATATCTCATTTTATAAATGTGATGATTAGTATAAATGAAATAGTATTATTTGGATTGTCTTTCTTATATATACATATGTATATATATTAATTTGTGATTTATATTTGCTAATAGTTTTAAAATTGCATTATTTTTTATTTATAACTTGTTTATGTACAATTTATTTATCATTTTATTTTGAATGATTATTTTGAAAAAAAAAATGTAATAAACATGTAAAAGAGCCCAAAAATTATTATGTTTGATTATGAAAGGTTTGATCCAGAATAAAAGGTTTGATCAGCCATATGCTATATTCTACATATTCGGTAAAGAAAGTTTTGAATTGGGTTTCGCGTTTAAAGAAATCTATTTAAAAAAAACAATCTCTTTTATTTGTTGTGAAAAGATAATTTTATAATATTTATGAAATGTTGTTTTGTATTTATTTGCTAGTATTTATATTTAGCATTATCCATACATAATAAATTTACAAGAAAATAGTAACTATTAATAATATTTCTTTATTACATATTAAACTTAATATTATTAGAGATTGTACCACTAGAAATTTTAAATCAATCACTTTTGTTAAATTAATAATATTTAACTATTTACAATAAATTAAATACAAATATCTACACTATAGAGAACTATATCTAATATATTTGTTATTTATTTTTGTTATATTAATTTTATATTATAAATTTGGTCCAGTATTAATTATTTATCGAATCTATATATATATAATAAGAATTACCATTTAAGAAAAATAGTAGCAAAAAAATAGGAAAGAATTTAATGCAACCTATAAATAGTAAGGTTTATTATTTTTTTTTATTTTTATCTTTGAAAAATCATACAACATTAAATGTTACATTAAATTTTAGGCTAAAATTTGTTTATTATTTAAAAATTTAAGCTAAGGTCTATTAAGTGTGCATTTTTTATTTTTATTATTTTTTAAAAAACAACGAAAATCATTAAAATCTCAGTCTCTATATTTATAAAATCTCAATTCAAAAGTAATAAAAATTTTAGAATATCGGTCTTTATATTTATTCCTTTCAAAAAAAATATTGAGTGCTATTCTTTAAATATCATTTTTCACTAATCATCACAATTTTTTCATTTGAAACGTGCGATAATATATTGTTTTTTCTCAATACTTTGTAGTGTTTAAAATATCACTTTGTAATGTTTATCAATACTTTGTTTATTAATCTATTGTTTTTTCTATACTCGGTTTCAAAAGGTAAAATAATTTTCAAATTCTCAGTCTCAATAATTGTGCATTTAAAATAAAAAAACTAATGATAATATATTATTTGTTAATAGTACACAATTTTGAAAACGTCACTATAAATTATATGTTAGTCTCCAAATCATTTTATAAATACAATCGACTTTGTTAAATCTCTACAAAAATATGGTAAAAGAAAATGAGACGATCAACTTTGTATGAAAATAAAATAAAATCAATAAATCAATATGAAGTTCACAGATAATCAATATAATGAATAATTTGTATAGTACACGGATCTAAAAAATAATACTCACGTGGATTCTAAAATTCAAACTTATAGTTATCATCATCTTCTGGAAATTGAATAATATACTATAGACAAGATTTTTTTAAATAATTTTAGATATTCTTTATTTATAAAATAGTTTAGAAAAAATTTAGGTGAATCACATCTTTCAATAATAATATATAAAATTTTAAATACTTTACATACGTTATATTATATAATATTTTAGGTGTTTTTAATATTTTAAACATATATTTTTTATGTTATTTTATACAAGATAATTTAATATTATTTACAACTAATATTGTTTACCCGTGCATCGCAGGGGCTACACACTAATACTAATAAAACCAGATATCAATATCGTGTTAACATTTATTTTTTAAATAACATGTAGTATTATTTAGATAAAATAGTTATTTGCACCCGCTATGAAGATATACTAAGTTTTCACACTGTTCACTGATAAGTTAATTTTTTCACCTGCGAAGGCATTGCAATAGTTGTCCGATGACATTGCGTGACAGTTAAAAAGTTAAAATACAAAGACAATGTGGAATGAATATGCGACAATGACGTAATGATATGCTGATATGCGACAGTTATACGACAACCAATCACATAACTTTCACACTTTTCGAAAGTGAAAAAGTTATATTGTTAGTTAATGATGATAAAAAAAAATAAATAAATCTTTATAGTGGATCTCCCATATTTATTTATCCCCTCAATTGCAACAAGTCAAATATAACAGTGCAAGGCTATTTGGTTTGATCGTTAAAGTGAAATTTTCGGTTTTTAAATAATTTTATTGAACACCACAAAGTCATGCTGTGGCCTGGTTTTATGGAAAACAATAACAAATGTGGATAATGCTGATTTTTTTCATTTATGTTAGAAAAGGAAATATAAAAATTAATCTAACATGATTGCTAAAATATTTATCTCATTCTCTATATAAATTATAATAATGTTAGATGTGTATCATGCCCTGGTTTTATGGAAAACAATAACATTGACAATGGTAATTTTTTTCCTCTATTAAAAAAAATGATTTAATATGATTGAGTAAAATATTTGTCTCATTCTCCATATAAATTATAATAATATTAAATGTGTTGTTATATATATACTATTATATGTGGTGTGTTTTTAAATATATTTACTAGTAGTTGTAATGATTCAAAATTAGCATAGAATATTAGAGGTTTTAGAATTTTTTTTTATTAAAATAACATATAAAATTGAAGGTATTTTTAAGGGGAGTGTATTCATTTGAAATTTTTAAAAACTTTTTAAAATTTTAGAAATTCTGGTGTATTTAATTGAGACTTTTTAAGATTTTTAGAAATCCTGGATATTTATTTGGGATTTTAAAAAGTCAATAATGATGTATTTAACTTATTTGAGACTATGATTTGTCAAAAAAATTTAAGATTTGGTGGGATTTATAAAGAAAAAGCCTTATACGAAATTTCATCCAAAATCTCACCCTCAAATTCAAGATTGAACTGTATTCCTTAGGACTGAGCATGGGTCGGCATGGTTCAGAGATTTATCAATCTCCGAACCGTACCGAAGTTCGGAGATCACTAAAATTCGATCTCCATAACCGTATCAAAAAATCGGTTTGGTCGGTTCAGAGATTTTTATTTTTCGGTTGGTTCGGTTCGGTTTTCGGGACTATCGGAACGTTTCGGTTCGGTTCGGTTCGGTTCAGTTTGGATATTCGGAGATTTCTTATCATTTTTTAAATTTTTTAGAATGACCACCTAGTTATATTTTATTTTTTATATGTTTTTTTTTTTTAAATCCAACATTCATCAATACTTCATCATACTAAAGATTTTATTTTTAAATCAACTTTGGAAGTAATCCTAAATTTTAGTTAAGACTAAAGTCAACTTGACATTTAAAATTTAAAATTCAAACAAAATATAATACAGTTTTATATTAAAGTATATTTATTTAACCTTCTATACCATGTTAGTTATAAGATAAACTAATGCTAAGTATCCACAACTTTAAGTAAAGCTTAAATATTTTTTTTTAATCTTTAACCTTTCATTCCATTTTATTTGACATGAAAAATTCAATTGTAGATCAAGTATTACTAAACATGAAATGTAAGTGAATCTTAATTGTTATTACTATATTTTATGTACATTAAATTATATAGGATCAAAGTTGACATAAAATATATTAATAACACGCATATATTTTTATAATTCGGTTCGGTACGGTACGGGATGGGACGGTTCGGTTCGGTTCTCGGTACGGATATTTGGTTCGGAGAAAGTCAAATGGTTGACGGATATTTTTCGGTTCGGAGTGATTTCGGTTCGGTTTTCGGAACGGTTCGAAATTCTCCGAGTCTCATGCTCCCTAGTACTATTCCTCCAAAATTTGAAAAT